TTACAGGTATGAGCCACCAGTGCCCAGCTTAAAATACTATTTTTTTAAAAAAGGACCAAATCTTGATTCATAATTATAGTGTTAAGTATTCGTGGTACCTTTAGTATAGGTTAAAAAAAAACTGTGTGCAAATGTCCTTCGACAGGTGAAGTGTCAAGCTCTAATATAAATAATCATCAAAAGGAATGCTGTAGTAAAATGAGAATGAGCAGTTAATACACCAAAAAATGAATCTCAAGAAGGAAAACACACCATTCCCAGTACATGATGCGCTACTCCATTTATATAAAATTGTAGAAAATGCAATTAACCTATAGTGAGAGAAGCCAGACCAGTGTCTATCTGGGGAAAGGAATAAAGCAAGCAGGGAGGGGTTAGTTTACAAGGCAATGTGGAACTTTATAGAGATGATGGATATATTCATTATGTTGATGAATGACTAAGAGCAATTATGTGGAGTAGAGCCAGGCCAAAACTGTTATTGTTTGTGCTGGTATTGGGGCTTTAACTTACGTCCAGGCAGCTCAGCTGTTCTTTAGAATTTTTTGCTCAAGGCTGGTGCTCTACCACCTGAGGCATATGGGGCCACTGCTGGCTTTTTGCTGGTTCACAGGAGATAAAGAGTCTCAAGGACGTTGCTACCCTGGGCTGATTTTGAACGTTGATTCTCATATCTCAGCCTCCTGAGTAGCTAGGATTACAGGTGAGAGCTACCAGTGCCTGACAACAGTTTGACTGTTAAAGGCTTAGAGGCAAGTATAAAGTGGGAAGGAGGGATGAGGATGCTAATGGGAGAGAATTGCAACATCCACTGTGGAAATCTTTTCTGGGGGTTTTCATTGCATTATTTACAGTTACAAAGAAAACCAACACCAAAGAGCTAAAACTGATGTGGCTGTGTGAGATAACCAAGCAGTGGGTATTAGCAGAATAGCAGGGAACCATTAGATATCCTCTAAAGATATACTAACCTCAAATATAAATACTAATAAATACATGAGACTCTTATCTCCAATGAATCACCAGAAAACCGGAAGTGGTGCTGTGGCTCAAGTGATAGAGTGGCTGGCTTTGAGCTGCAGAGCTTGGGGACAGCGCCCAGACCCAGAGTTCAAGCCCCATGACCGAAGTGGGGGGAAAAAGTAATAGCCTGAGCATACTAGGATCCTAAGAAATTTGGTGAAATAAATGACTTTTTTACTGATACTTGTCTCTCTGTTTTTTGTCTGTTTTGTTGTAGTTTAAGACCAGGCCTCCAACTTGGCACTTGAAGCTTTGCCTCACTGATTAGTGCTCTACCAACTTCACTCTCTGTAAAACCATATTTAAGATCCTCGAACTCTTACCTGTAACTGTTTCTAGCCTACTGCCGGGGGGGAGGTTTTCTTCTCTTTGTCTACCTTTTTCTTTTTTCTCTTCTTCTTCTCTTTGCTACGAGGTTACTGATTCTGAAAGTATGTTCTGTTCTAGGGAATTATCAACACGGATGGTTTTTAGAAGAAATTGTGGTTTCGGTTAAAAAAAAAAATAGGAAAATTGGTAATTTAATCCAACCGTGGATTGTGAGGTGGAACATCATGGCATATTACTGCCACCAACTGGCACCACATCCGAATTGCAAGCCTAGGGGGAGGAAAAAGGGAAAACCATTTGACTTGGCAACTTGCTATCATATTGTACAATGAAGTGAACCACACGAGCAAACCAAGAGAGGGGGCTGATGAGGCAAGCGCATGGCTTGTGGAAGTGGTAAAAGGGAAGGGGGGAGAGTTGGGTGCTGGTGGTTCACACCTTTAATCCTAGAGATCTGGAGGATTGAGGTTCCAAGGCAGCTGGGGGCAGAAAAGTGTTAAGAGACTCCACCCCCAAAATATCCAGCTAAAAGCTGGATAAAAGTAGTGTGATTTGGTGGGTAGAGTACCAGCCAGGTGAGTAAGTATGAGGTCCTGAGTTAAAACTCTGGTGCCAGAAAAAGAAGAAGAAGAAAAAATAGGGTGTGTGGGGGGGGAGGGGGATAGAGGGTGAGGAAATGTGATCAGATGAGGAAAGACTTCTTGGGTATAAACATCTAATAGCTGCACCCTCAACTGTACCTGCAAAAGGAGACTGGAGGGAAGAATCATAAATTGTTAAATCATTACATCGTCAAAACAAGTAAGTTCTGTATTTTTACTCTATGCAGAAGAGTGAGATCAATTGAATAACAACTCTTGTGAGCTGAAGTTACAGAATGTGAGCTGAAGTTACAGAATGTGAGTTGGAATGAGAGAATAAACCTAAGTTTGGCCAATATTTTAAAGGAAGTTTGTTATCTATACAGTCCCAACTAGTTCTTTGTATTATAACGCAAAGTTATTGAAGACACAAAGCAATTTGCCCAAGGTTATTCAGTTTCCCAGCGGCGTGTGGATTCCATGTTCTTAAACATTGCACTGCTGGAATTAGAGTCATATTAGGAATTCAAAGGGAGATGAATGATTTTTTTTTTTTTTGGTTGGTTGTGGGCCTTGAACTCTGGGCCTGTGTGCTGTCCCCGAGATCTTCAGCTCAAGGTGAGTGAGTGCACTACCACTTGAGCCTCAGCGCCACTTCTGGTTTTCTGGTTGTTTATTGGAGGAAAGAGTCTCATGGACTTTCCTGCCCTGGGCTGGCTTTGAACCGCGATCCTCAGATCTCAGCCTCCTGAGTAGCTAGGATGACAGGTGTGAGCCACTGGAACCCCGCAGATTTTTTTTTTTTTCGAGATTGTGATTAAAATAAAAAAAAAATAAAAAGGTTAGCCACACACTTTTATGATGGAGAAGACATCAAACCATTATTGGAATCCCATTGATTCGTGGAGCCTAGGGCAGTTACCTTCTTCCTCTGGCTTGAGACCTGGCCCCTCGAAGCACCAGTGAGAGCTAACTACTGGCTCTGCAGAACAGTACAACAGGAAGCCGAGGTGGGGATGAACGGCAGACCTATATCTATAGACAACTCAAGAGCCTAGTCATCCTCCAGTGAAAAACGCCACGGCACCTTGCCGCCAGAGTGAGCGGCGGAAAACCAGACACAGGTTCACCTAAGGATCGTCGGGCGGCTTGAGGCAGGCTGTGAACACGGGGCTGGGGGGGGGGGGGTTCCCAGAGGAAAGAATCAAGGTCTGTCGGTGGGTGGTGGTGGGACCCTGGGTTTGGGAGGAGGAGGGAAGAGTTGGGATTTTGGTAGTGAGGAGTTGCAAGCAGGTGGAAGTCTTGGCCGAGGAGGGGGGAGGACGCAGGTGGAGACAAGGGGAAAGAGAGAGGGGCCTGGCCCCCCCCCCCCCCCTTAAGCTTGGTCAAGATCTCCTGTGAGCATGTGGAGCCAAGGGTAAGGGAAAGGGGCCTGGCTGCACACACACCCTCAAGCTTGGCCCGATCTACCCTGTGGGCAGCTCTTACCAGGCCAGGCTGGATCCCTGCACCCCGGCCCCCTGGGCCAGGCAGGCTGAGGGGGGGGGAGGGGAAGGGGGAGAGGGATCCCGAGGCGGGGGGGGGGGGGGAAGGGAGGATCCCGAGGCCGGGGGGGGGGGGGCGGGAGGAGGAGGGATCCCGAGGCCCGGGGGGGGGGGGGGAGGGAGGAGGGATCCCGAGGCCCCAGGCGGGGGGGGGGGGGGAGAGGGGGAGAGGGGGGAATCCCGAGGCCCCAGGCGGGGGGGGGGGGGGGGAGGAGGAGGGATCCCGAGGCCCCAGGCGGGGGGGGGGGGAAGGAGGGATCCCGAGGCCCCAGGCGGGGGGGGGGGGGAGGAGGAGGGATCCCGAGGCCCCAGGTGGGGGGAGGAGGGATCCTGAGGCCACGGGGGGGGGGGGGCGGGGAGGAGGGGGGATCCCGAGGCCCCAGGTGGGGGGAGGAGGGGGGATCCCGAGGCCCCAGGTGGGGGGAGGAGGAGGGATCCTGAGGCCCCAGGCCGGGGGGGGGGGGGGGGGTCTGGTGTCTCCAGCTGCAGCCGGGCTCCCCTCTGCTCTCGGCTACCTGAGCTAATGCTGCCGCCTCAGGCAAGGCCGGCTGCGTGGAACTCGCTTGGCGCGGGGGGGGGGGGGGGGGGAGGGGGAGGGGGGAGAGAGGAAAGAAAGAGAAGAGGAGGAGGGGAGGGGGGAGGACAGACGAGAGAGTGAGGGAGAGAGGAAGGAGAGGGAGGGTGGAGGGAGGGAGGCCGACGCCATCCGATCCGGAGCAGACAGCGCTCCGCCCCACCGGCGGAGGGGGGAGGAGGGGGGACGGGGGGGGGGGACGGGGTCTCCACAGAGTTGTCAGCTCGCCCCCCTCCTCTCCTCCGTCAACAATACATCTCGAATACAAAGCCCGGGCCCCCGAGACTCAAACCTGGGCCTGGGCGCGCGAGTGCGCGCGCGCGCGCAGGACTCCGCCCCCTCCCCCCCCCCCCCGCGTCCCGCTCCTTCCCGCGCCGTCTCGGAGTGGCGGGAGTGGAGGAATGGACGGGGAGGGCTGTGTATGCGTGCGCGCGTGCGCGTGTGTGTGTGTGTGCGTGTGTGTGTGATGGATTCCTTCCCAGACCTTCCAGAAGCTCTGAAATAAAAACATTAAAAAAAAAAAAAATGGCGGGCGACAACTCAGCGCGAGCGGGCCGCGCAGGCGCCCTGGCGGCCGTCCTTCCGCCAGCCGCCAGCGGTCCGGCTCGGGGGGGAGGGGGGGGCCGACGGAAGGAGGTGGGGGGCGGGCTGGAGCGCGGGAGAGGTCTTCCGCCGCACGCGATTGGCTGAACCACGGCGGGAGGGGGGAGGAGGGCGGGACCTCCGCGGCGCGGCCACGTTTTTCCCGCCCCGCTCTGGCGCATGCGCGCTGCCCACACACTCTCTCCCCCCCCCCCTCCTCCTCAGGAAAGCGTCTGCGCGTGCCGCCCTCCCTCGCCCTCCCTCCCCCGTCGCCCCCCTCCGGCGCCTCAGCTCCCTCCCGCCCGCCCGCCCGCCTCGCTTTCCGGGTAAGGCCCCCGTCCCGTCAGCGAGGCACCGGAGCACGGTGGCCAGCAGAGGGCGGTCCGGACCCGAGTCTGCAGCGGCGCCATTGGCGTGTGGAAAATGCCACCAGATGGCGGGTTAGGATTGCGGCTCCGTTGAAGGCGCGGCCCCCCGTTCCCGAGCCCCCCGGCGACCACCCTGGAACCACCCCCCCACCACGGGAATAACACACCGGAGACTTTGCGGGGGGGGTTGAGGACGAGGTCGACGGCCGGCAGCCGGCCCGGATGGGCGGCTGAGGTGAGTGCGGGCGGGCGGGCGGCGGCGGCGGGGGGCGGGCAGAGGGGGGGACTGCGGCGGCGGCGGCGGCGGCGGCGAGGCGCGGGGGCCGCCAGCGCCGATCCAAGATGGAGGCCGGCCGGGCGGCTCGGCGGGGCGCGCGGGGCGCGGGGCGCGGGCCGGACTGCGGGGCGGGGGGGCCCCGGGCGGGCGCGGGGCACGGCGGGAGGCCGCGCGCGGGGCCTGGGTGTGTGTGCGCGCGCGCGCGTGTGTGTGTGTGCGCGGGGCCGTCGGGATGGACGTGCCACCCCCCCCCGCCACCCCCCTTCCTCCTCCGGGAGGGGACGGGGGACGCGGCGGGGGGCACCCCGACATCCCGCTCTCCCGTACCCCCGCGGGCCCCCGAAAACCGTGTCCTCGCTCGCCCGCCCCGGGGCAGCACGGAGACCGGCGCCCAAGCCTTTGTGGCGCGCTCGGGCCCGCGGCCAAGCCCGCCCTCCCCCCCCACCTTCTTCCTCATCCCCCCCCCCCCCAGCCCGGGCTTCTCAGGACGGGGCCGGGCCTGGGCCCAAGCGGGCGGGCGGGCGCCAACGCTCTCGGTCGCCCTGCGTTTCTGCAGTGTCTTTTTTTCCTTCCTCTCTCTCTCTCTCTCTCTCTCTCTCTCTCTCTCTCTCTCTCTCTCTCTCTCTCTCTCTCGTGTCACATGACAACGAGCTGGGCTCAGCCTGTGAGGGGGTCGGGGGTAGAGTGGGGGGGGGAGGCCCGCACAGCGAGGCGTCTGGGCCTCCCCGGCCTCTGGTGGGTGGGTGGGTGGGTGGGTGGGTGGGTGGATGGATGGATGGATGGATGGATGGATGGTGTGAGTGTGTGTGTGTGTGTGTGTGTACACAGGGGGGAGGGTTGACCTGGAGGGAGGGAGGGAGGGGTGGGGGTGGGGGGCGAGAATCGCCTGGCAGCCGGGCTCTTTCCCGCTATCTGTGTCCCTTCTCCTCCCCCTCTCCTCTTCTCCCCCCCCCCCCCCCGCCCTTCCTCCCACGATTTTGGGGAGAGGGCAGGAGGAGGGTGGGTGGGGGGATCTCCAGTGAAACGTGTCCAAGCCAGAACACTGCCACCCCCTCTCACCTTGGCGGGCTAGTTTCCTCTGTCTTCCCCCTCCTTACTCCCCCCCTCCACCCAGAGGAGGCCCAATAAAAGTTGTTTTCCCTCCTTTTCTAGGTGTGTGGGGAGCGGGTTTGGGGGGGGGGGGAAGCTGGGAAACTGGAGGGTCTGGAGTTGAGACCTCAACCTCTCCTCTTCCCTCTCCTCAACCCCCCTCCCCCTCCTCCTTCTTCTGGCAAGAAGCCCCCCCCCCATACACACAGCTGGGTTGCTTCACTTTTGTGCTGTTGAAGGCACCCAGACATTTTCCAGTTTTTAGGGGATTGTCTCCCTCCCCCCCCCCACTCTTATCTACCCTGGAAATGTTACCCAGTCTTTTGCACGTTGCGGGCGTTTGTAAGTCATGGGATGGGTGCTTTTTCTTTTTGGGCAGCTTGTAAAGACCCCACCCCACCCCAAACAATGCTTGATGGTTTGTTAGGGAATTTATCTGCTGTGAAAAGTTGGTTGGTGATGGGTGCTGTTTATTTTTGACTCCTGGTAGTGTTTGGAAACCACCGTGTTTTGCCTCTGAGCAGAAAGGGTTTGAAATGAAGTTATCTTCTTAATTGACCAAAAAAAAAAAAGTTGTGTGCTTTTTGTAACTTACTTGAATTTGAATGTGACTGTTGTACCTTGAGTTCTCAGCGTGTGTATTTTAAGGAAATTGCGAATTCTGATGGGGGAAAGGAAGCACTTAATGAAACATCCGTAAGAGTGAAAATAAAAACAACTCCTCTAGTGTGTGATGTGTACTGTGTCCTCACATTTCTTAATGAATTCAGGCTTTAAAAAAATTAGACCAAAGAGAAAAATGCTGAAGGAGCTGGAAATATTTTGTTGGTTTTGAGTTTTGAAATCCTAAACAGATTGTTACTTAAATAAAATTGTACAAACCTACAGGTGTTCTGCCCCCCTCCCCCATTTCCTTCAAAACCATACTTTGAGGCTTAGAAAGATGGTTTTCTCTCCTACTTGGGAGACTTGAGTCTAATTGAATCTCCAGTGTGAGGGGTAACTAGGAACACCTGGGTAACACCCAACACCCCCCCATCTCCAAACCATTACCTGTACTTGGAATAAAATAACGTCAATAACGAAGTGATCTACCAGTGGTCTTCTTTACAAACTGCTCTTGGGTAGAAAGAAAATTCTCTGGATTCAGTTTTGTTTTGTTACTCTACAAAAGTTAAGTAAGGGATGTTTAAATAGATGTGAAATAGGGAAAATAATGTGATCAGGACCACATCCTTTGAAGAGGTATACAACTAACTGTTGCTGTGAATGACTTAATGCTTTCAGGGAGTTGTGGTGTAGGGAAGGGAAAATCCTGAGCTGAAGTTACTTGAAACATCCAGTTTTGTGCTGTATGGGATTGTACTCATTAAGTTTTATTTTCCTCCTCTGTAAAATGAGGGTAATAGAGTAGTTGTTTAGCCAGATGGGTGTGTGAAAAAGTTTTTAATCCTAAAACATAACATTTATAGTTGTGATTTTTTTTTTTTTCCCTTACTTGGTTCCATGTCAGTGTATCTTCATTATCTCAGTGCTTGCAAGGAGATATGCACTTTGAGGAAAGGTACATCCCTTTCCTTTTTAAAACAATTTTCTGTCATATCCTTATTGAAGGTAGTTTATGTGTCTTGTTTTGGTGCGTAACAAGTTAATACAAATTTAGTAGATTAAAACTTGTTTCAGTTTCTATAGATCAGAAGCTTGGATATGGTGCCAAAACACCGGAAATAGAGCTGTGGCCCAAGTGTTAGAGTGTTAGCCTTGAGGAAAAAAAAAAACAAAAACAACAGGAACATTGCCCAGGCCCTGAGTTCAAGCCCTAGGACTGGTACAGACAACAACAAAAATCCAAAACGCCAATACAAATGAAAGGACCAGAGGCATGGCTCAGGAGGTAGAGCACTTTCCCAGCATGTGCAGGTCACTGGTACTGCAGTTAGCCTGATTAGGGCAAGCCTGCTAAGATAATCTGTTTGATGAACAATTAAGGTCTTTAATTACATATATAAAATATCTAATGCCATATAACAGCACAGAAAAGCTATCCCATTATAACTACAGATCTGTTCCACCCTCAAGGGGATTAATTATACAAGTGTCATTAGAGAGTCTTGATTATATAAGGTCATTAGAGGGTCTTCAGAATTGTACCTGTGTGGGCAAGAAGTATCTTCACAAAACAATAGCCTCATTTGATCTTGCTTAATTTCTTTGCTTTTGCTGCGATGCTAGAGATTGAATTCAGTGTCCAGCACACGTCAAGCACTCCATAACTGAGTTTACATCTAGACTCCTTTATTTTTTGACATGGTCTCACTGGATTCTTCTGGCTTAGTTTCCCCTAGTCTCTAGATTGCAAGGCTAAGATTGTGCAATTTTTGCTGTTCCTTAATGCCTGTTGTTTTACCCCTATTGTTCATGAGATTAAATCTCGGGAAAGTTAAGGAATTTAAATACCTTAAATTGAACTCCTGTTAAGTAGCAGGCAGGCTCACAAATTCATTGCATCAGACTGCGCTCTGGTATGATTATTAGTCCAACAGCATGTGAAAGAGAACTCTTCGAGTAGTTATTTGAAAGTATCAGCGTAGGTTAATTTTGGTGGCACAAAGGAGATAGCACAAGTTTGTTTATTGATGTGGTTTGACAGTCAAAGAAACAAAGGTATCTTTCCTTCCTTCCCTCCTTCCCTGGAGCTTGAACCAACAGCCTCAAGCTCTTGCTCATGGCTGTTGCTCTAACTCTTGAAGTACACTTCTAGTCCTGCACTGGGGCCTCTGGGCCTAACTATAGCCACACCTGTAGTTAATTGGAGAGGGAACCTCCCATAAGACTTTTCTGCCAGGCTGGTTTCAAGTTGAGATTTTGTATGTCTCAGCTTCCTGGGTAGCTAGTATTATAGTAATGGGCCCCTAGTGTCCAGCTAAAAAAGCAAAACTTTTCAAGAAGAGGCAGTTAGAATAGATTTAACTAGTATATGAAACTTTAAAAATTACAAGCAAGCATTAATTTGGTGAAGAGGCCTCGTGTGTAGCTTGGAGGGTCTGGATTTAATGCCCAGTATCATCAAAAGCAACACAAGTATTATTGAGAAGATAATGCTTACCTTCCTACTACAGAGATGATACTGTAGTTACTTGTAGTTTTTGTTGTTTCTGAACAAAGATAGGACTCTTTAGAATTTCAGGTGGTTCTTGGTACTGTTGATATTCTATAGGGAAAAAAGTAATAAACAGAGACTTAAAAAGATGCTCTTTGATCTTATAGCATGAGTTGGTTCTTGTAGAAAGAAAGGTCTAGAGAAGGAAGGGTGAGTTTTCTGTTATTTTGATAGGTAAGAGTTCAGGATCCCAGTTTCTTACCTTAATGCTGAGAGAAGCCATCATTGAGAAATAGATGGTGTTTTTAAAGTGAGCTTAGTAAATAAGTAGGTCATAGTTAGATCAATTAGTCTCACAAACCCTTTCTGCACATAACACATCCCAGTTGCTTCCTTTGGGGCTTTTTCTTTACTTGAATTAGTAAGTCCCAACTAAGTCCGTCTTTTTGAAAATATACAAGTCTTTGTGCTGCTGTCGTAAGTGGTACACCAGTGAGTTGCCCAAACGTTCTGTATCCTTTTATAATTAAACATAGAGCAATAACTTTCTAACTTGGGTGATACTTACGAAACCATTTTGCAGTGTAACCAGTACAGGTACACGTATAACAGTAATAAATGGCTCATGAAAGATTCCATCTTTGAGAAGGAGACTTTCTTTTCGTTATTATTAAATGTGTTTGTTATTATAAAGGTGATGTACAGAGGGGTTACTGTTTCACAAGTCAAGTAATGAGTATCATTTGAAATTGGAATTTTCTTTGTAAGG